AGTTGTTCAGATTATGTGCCACTGAATGGGAGATGATTATATAATGCCTTTGAGGAACCGGACTGGATATTGTCACGGAGTGTTCTAAGGTACTATCCCGATAGTTGCCTGTCCTGAGGAAAACAAAGTTATCCGACCTCCTCCGCTTGTATCGGACCTGGAGTCTCTCTAATATGAAGAACATGAATTAAATACAGTACCGCGTCGTTTGCAGTGAGCTGGGAAGTGGGAACCAAGACGTGTCCACACCGCTGCGCGTCTCTTAGCCCCTTGATGTTTTATTTACTATAACAATCATCAATTCGTGGGCGCAGAAATAGACGATTTAAGATTATATTGCCGAGTCCAGCACACCAGCAGCTGGACGGAGAAGAAGCTGAGTTATGGGCAACATTGTCAGGGGACAGAAGAGTCTGGAGTTTCAACGACTCCGCGGAGAGTGAGTGAATATTCGTTCTTGTCTACTTCAAAATCCGCAATTCCTGAATGAAAAAAATATAGCAAACGCATGCAAAATATTTATTTTCACTGCCATTCAGAAGGGAGGAACCCAATTTGTACAGCAACGCGCTAGACAACCGTGGACTCGGGGTTTTACTCTTTCCCACAATGTACTGACCGTGACCAGCTCCGTATACAATGGGTAATGAGAGTTCTTTCTCCGGTGGTAAAGCAGCCGGAGTGTGAAGTTGACCACTCACCTCCATCCAGTATCGAGTCAGTCGTAAGCTCGAGGAGTCCAGGAGAATTTTTAGTTCCAAGGTTCCAGAGTGATTGAAGACGAAATAGAAAGAAGACTTCACAGAGATTTGAAGTGTTAATTTCTGTGTTGAGATCCGTTGTTAAGAGACGACTAGTGAAGAAGGAAAATCCTAGTGCGTGTGAAACGATGAACAGGAAAATGTGTAACGCTGTATTTAAGTGTGATTAAGAGAACTTGTAACCAAGGTGCTAATATATCCAACAATCCGAAACAGAACCAGTTACTTTCGTCACGCGTACCACCCTACACGTGACAATATACAGCTGATATCAGTTTGGGTACTTGATTCCCACAAAATCTCTTTTCAGTTTGCGTAAGAAAAGTACGAGGAGAGTGAATGTTGGGTCATGAGGAAAGAAATCATGGACAGAGGAACGTGGATTGAAGTTGACTGCCATGTTGGATGTCGTGGGGAGCGGAAGTTCGATGCGGTGGGGATATAAAGCTGGCTGCTATGAGGTACAGAAACTGCACGTTATGGTTAATGAAGCTGTATCTTGGGGAGTGTAAGCCGGATGTAATATGATAGAGGCTCAATGTCACGGGGATTGGAAGGTCGATGTCAGGAGTGAAGCCGGACGTCTTGGGAACGGGAAACAAGACGTCATGACGAATGGAGGATGTATATAATGGGGAACTGAACCCGGATATCATGGGGTCGAGGCTGTATTTTGCGAGCCTGTCTCATGGGCACCATAACGAGAACTGTGCTGCAGACGGTCTCATTGTCAACATGACTGGAAAATCGTGTTACGCGGGGGTCCCGTGAGCTTACTGACTATAGGATTGTGTTATGAACCGATCTCATGATAATTATGTTACGGAATGTTTCCAGAATCGTATTATGGTGTGGTCTCATGGATATATTAACTTGAGCATTGTGTTACGGGATGGTTATATCGGAACTCTGGAAGAAGTACCGTGTTATTTGCCCGTCTCTTGGGAACAGTGACTGAAGTGTCGTGTTATAGGATGTCATGAGCATACTAACTGGGCCGTCGTGTTATGGGGTGGAGAGTCAGTCTTACGAAACGGTCTTATGGGCTCACTGATTGCAGATGGTGTGATGGCGTGGTCTCATGGACATGTAATGCGGTGGTCTCACTGCCACACGGATTCAAAAATGGTGTTATGCACCGGTCTCGTGGGAACACTGACTGCAGCATCCTGTTACTGGGTGGTTTTATAGGCAATAGTGACTGGAGTATTGTGTTATGGAGCGCGTTCATGGGCATTGCGACCGGAGTATCACGCGATAGAGCAGTGACATGGGTTACAGAAATTGGATTTTCGTGTTATGAAGGTGTATTACTGACACAGTAATTGGCTTATCATTCTACAGAGCTCACCAATGGACAAAGTGACTGGAGTGTGGGCAGTGGAAATGCTAGTATCATGCAATATAATTTCGCTACTCGTTTCAGAAGGGTTCCCTTAGAGAAGTGCACTTGATTTGGGCACATCTCGTTCTCTGAATTCCAAACAAAAAAAGAAAACACTCTCTCTGTAACAAACCGTGAAGGCCCGTAGGGTTGTGAGACGTCGAGGCTCCCATATTTTCTAGACAATAGGCTCAGAGATGGCAGTGAGATCGTCAGGCTTATGCGCCGGCTGCCCTTTACCCCAAGGAAGATTCCTGGTACTCATGTCTGTTAGAGGTTGAGTAGACCCCAGGCCCATAGTGTGGCTGGAAGGATTAGGTGAATTTTTAAATTCAATGACCTAATTGGGAATTGAAGAATGCAGATATCTGTTTCTACATAAAATACGAAATATTCAGCATATTATTCAATCTAGCCTGCTTCGCGCATGCGTACATTAGTCTCGAGTTGAGAATACTCTGACACAATAGCTGAGATGTGTTCAGCTTGATCACTTGAACTGTTTATTAAATGACATTTTTTGTCAGTACGTTGAACCTATGAATTATCCTTCTGGTTATGGTAAGCAAGTGAACAGTTCTTCAATAAGACCAAGACTATCTAACAATTTGACAGCCCAGTTCTGTCATAAGTTTCTGCAAATCAGCAAGTATTGTGATTTGTGCTGTTTGTAAATTATGATACTTTTNATGGTAAGCAAGTGAACAGTTCTTCAATAAGACCAAGACTATCTAAAATTTTGACTGCCCAGTTCTGTCATAAGTTTCTGCATATCAGCAAGTAATCAAAGTAACACTTTGGTGTTACATTCCTGAATCACTGAAAAGTCACACACATTTCTTTCAGTGGAATGAGTGAATGTATAAGGGGTGGGCTTTCTTGGCCCTTGCACCGCGACCTACAGTGGTCTATTGTGCTTTCTTTCAGTGGTAATAAGACATCAGTCTTGTAGGTGTTATTTCGTAGGAAATATCTTTCCTCTACTTCGCGCCGTAAGGAAGGTGGCATACAAAATTCCCTATTGCGTGACCCTGAATGATTTTTATTCTTGCTCTTGGGACTTCCGTTTTGAGCACTATGCATTTAAAATTTCGTAACAGAAAGTAATTATTTTTAAATTGAAAATGTTAATGTACATTCTATAGGGATGCCTCCTTTACTTTCCTTATTGAAACTAAACCTAAGTGCCCAGGTCAGAAGGTCAATTGTCCTTCATTCCCACATATATGCATCATGCATCATGCTTTTGTTCATATTATGTGCGGAATTTCCATAAAATCGCGAACACCGTCTTGTAACACGAACAATTTAAATGTAAACGATTTCGGCAGCTGCAATTGCAAAAGCAACTATACTGTTACTGCTGCAAATACCTACAGAGTGATTGTTTCTGATTAGGCGCTATATTCAGCTGGACGGAAAGCGACATCTGGGGTAACTCGGCCGAAGTGAGAGCTTGCACACTTACCTTGTCGTCATGCAAGTGACAACTTAACGACGTTCGTGGAAAAAAGATGCAGATTCATTTTTTTCCGTAAGCAGTTGCTCTATCTTATCAAATTACTTTGGAACTCCTTCGCAAGGTAACATTGCAACTGAATTATGTGTAACAGCGAGACAAAGCGGGATACATGTGCTTGGCTGCAACTCAGTTGTCATTCAGGCAGAAACACTGATGCAGTTTGGTTCTGAAGACAAACTGCAGGAAGTGCAACACCAAAAGGTCAAGGCAAAAAAGCATGCGAATTAGGAGAAACACTGACGTGTCGTATATGTTCGTTATCTTCATCCATGGAGATCCTACGAGAGAGAGTCAGTAAATAGGTGACAAATGGAAGTAAAACAGCTGTAATGGACGGAATAGGTTTGTGTGTGTATCACTAGGTAGCAGCACAGACCACCTTCATGACAGTCTAAGTAGCAGACGCGCATGCGCAGGTTCAGAGGCTGGTTTCTGCAGTCAAAATGGTGACCATGATTGAGGAGTATACTACCGAAGAGCAGCGTTCTGTTGACGTTTTCTATGGGTAAAAGAGCTCAATGCAAAGGATATTCATAAAGAAATGTCTAAGGTGGAGAGTGTTTGTCCCGTAAAGCAGTTCACATCTGGGTCCAGGAATTCTCTCAAGGACATTCGAGAGTCTCAGATGATGAAATGGAGGCGCGGAAGTGGCTGAGACAACATTCAAAAGACTCCTGTGCTGCGGGTTTCGACGAACTGGTAAAGCGATGGGACAAGTGTATCAGTGTTGGTGGAAGATATGTCGAGAAGTAAACAATTTTTGTCCAAGTTCGAGTATCACATATTTTAAGTTTTATATCCACCTGTGACGTATTTACTGACTCTCCATCATGCAACGTGATTTCATATTTTCAGTACACGACATTGAACAGATAAGCATAAAATTCCTAAAGATAAGCAGTATGTTCAAATGTAAGATTTGAGGTTTTCACGGCGGTGACTATGAAGAAAGCAGTTTTATGGGATGTGACACCGTGTAGATGTGGTGTTAACCAACGTTCCTCCGAAACGTCGGTTAACACCACATCTACACGGTGCCACATCCCAGAAGACTGCTTTCTTCAGTATGTTCAAAGTTTGGCGAACTGGATTCCTGCGGCTACTAGAAAGTTCCAGAATTTCTGGGGTGTACTTACATTTTTTTAAATTAAGACATTCAATAAATAATCTCAGATGCATGGTTCTGTGAAATTACTATTTTGACGCGGTTCTATTATCGTGACGTACAGGCAGTTGCTTAGTGCACTTCTATACCGTGCCGCAGTCATGCAAGTGCCGAGGTGCACACGGTCGGCTGTTTCTGCAACAGTCAAGAAGCAGGGTGAGCACTCACCTGTGTCCACAATGACGTCGATCAGGTCCATGCTCTTGGCGAAGGCATCCCTTAGATTGATGTGATGGAAAGACACGATACTGCCCTCCCTCTTGGCTCGCTCCAGGGCCTCCCTTCTCTTCAGCGCCTTCTCTCTTCTCATCTGGTTCTTGTAGAACTCGGCAAAATTGTTGACTATGATAGGAATGGGCAGTGCGATCACCAGGACCCCACAAATGCAACAGACACTTCCTATGACTTTCCCCAGCGGGGTTGTCGGGTATATGTCTCCATAGCCCACCGTTGTCATGGTGATGCCAGCCCACCAGAAAGTCTCGGGTATGCTGATGAACTTAGTGTCCTTCTCCTCTTTCTCAGCGAAGTAAGCCAGACTTGAAAATATAAGCACGCCCATGGCAAGGAAGAGCATGAGAAGACCTAGTTCCTTGTAGGAGTTCCTGAGCGTGAACCCGAGACTCTGAAGGCCCGTGGAATGTCGGGCCAGCTTCAGTATCCGGAGAATACGCATGATCCGGAAAATTTGGACCACACGGCGCACATCTTGAAACTGATCGGTTGCGTTCTTGTTCGTCTCGAGAAGAAACAGGGACACAAAGTAAGGCATGATGGCAAGAAGGTCAATAACGTTGAGGCCACCTTTAAAAAACTTCCACTTGTTTGGGGAGGCGCTGAAACGCAGGACGTACTCGAGGGTGAACCAGGTGATGCACACCGCCTCAACCATCGCTAGCTGAGGATTGTCCTGAAAGTTCCCCTTTTCGTCATTCACCTGAAGGCTCGGGATGGTGTTGAGTGTCAGAGCGATCGTCGATAGTACAATGAACAGGATGGAGATGACTGCTATCACCTGCAACCGGCACAAACGCCACTGAGGAAACAGGTCCGTCCATGTCGAAAGATATACCTGCAGGACTTCAAATGATGAATGGCAGTGCAATCACATTGTGGACATGGTTTACTGCGTCCAATGTCAAATGAATATTATGTTTCTCTTCTGTGAAAAGAAGGAATAATATTGCGTAAATACATTGGATGGGAATTTAGTGAAGGTTGGGGTCTGATAACGATATTAAAATTCTACATAACTGAGTGGACAAATGCAAATGTTGGCAGAAAACGCCCTCTTAGGAACGGAGAATTCCAGCTCAATGTGTCTTAAAGACTGAGCTGAGGGTTCAGGTCTGATGCGAATCTTTGCAAGAGATCAATAGAAAGGCAGTCACAGGAGTGAGAAGAAAAAAAAGGTAATAAAGAACTTACGTGATCCATTGTGTTTAATAAGAGAATAGTCAGTCAATTTCGCTTGGTCAAAAAGAAGAGTAAATTGCGTGCCATGAGACCAGAGATACTCGCGACATTGAACAGAGGGAAACTCGTTACTTTTATCCCATCCCTGTCTTAATTAGATCTACTGAAGGTGCTGGGTTTAACAGGAAACGATGGGTTATTTAGCAACTAGAATGACGAATTTACTGCTCAGTAAGAGCTGAGTTGCAGAAGTGATCTAAGCACAGTAGAGTATTATTTGGCATTTGAGAAAAATATTAAATGAAATAAGTGGACGTGTATTAGCTGGAGTAAATTTGAGGCAGTAGGTTAGGCCTAGGTTTTGAATTGCATATTTAAACAGTGCTATTTGTGTGACCATATGTACATAAAGAATTTTATTGAATATTTCTAAACGAGTAAGAAGGGAAAATTCTGCTGGTATTACTGAGGAGAACCATGCTTCAGATGGATGCAGAGAGGAACAGGGCAGGCTCGTGGAATTATTTATAGTTGCACAGACAGGAATTGACAGCAAGTTGAAGAAGACTCAAACATCGAAGTACAACAATCATTCTCCAGACAGCGAAAGGGAAGAAGAAGGAAGACAGAGAAGTAGAAATATTCCACTGAACGTGCTTTTGTAGAAAGTTCTTCCATATAAGTTCTGCTTCATGCTATTACGTCAGTATACAAATATATAATTAGCACACATAAACACATTCCAGTGCCCGAGGTGTCTCATTTTCGGGAACCAGATTTAAGTAATAAACAAGAGAGGTATGCAAGTAATGTTACTGCAGTGTTAGAAAGCAAATTAGAGGATACTGTGAGCCACAGAGAACAGTAGCAGCAGCAGCAGGCAACCCCACATCCAGCATCTTGCTCACCCCTAAGGTTTGCAGTGTCTGTCAGTATTGGCAATCCCAACAAGGCGCCGACAGCTGTTCGGTCTGACGTCATTTACCTGCACGTTCACCAGTTTCACAATATATTTGAAATAAAAATATTTCAACATACTCGAGATTTAGCTTTGGGAAATCAAAAGATTTCAAACATGGAGTCTGTTGACATTCAGGAATGAATTCTTGCGCTTCCAGTTGTTGCGTTTTACTTACACGTTTGAGTATATAAGTTACAACTCTCAGAGGACGGATTGGATTGGTTAAACCCCAAGTACATTAATTTAAGAGTTCCGTTTTCTCGCAGGGCCTTAAGAGACCGCGCAGTAGTTTACTGTTATGCTGTCAAATTAATGGCAGGAACAAACGCGCATGGAACTCGGAAGCTCCCGCCATGTTGGTTTCCGTTTCATCCTACATTTCTAATTCCACTGTGCTCAGCTGCTGTTGTGTCTTTGAATGTTATAAGGCAGGAAGGTTTCCTGAGTGTTGAGTGTGCCAGTATTTCACTCAGATTTAAGACAGTTATGTGGGAAAAAAATTCGCTGTTTTTTGGACTCAAATACAAAATTTATTCCAGCAACGATATTTCTCATTCACGATGGATGTCTACCGAATAGTAATGAAGGGGAGTGGTAACTTCCTGACCCCGCTTGGCAACTATACATTATTCAACGAACTAAACTGGAGTATAATTGCATAGAACTCGATGATAGTTATCTGTATCACGGAAGGAAATTCGCGTTGCCATAACTACGAGTAAGTGAGGCACTGCAAACACTGCAATTCCTTTCGTTGTGCTATTACAGACATAGTTTGTATTTAACTGCATATCAGCGGCTGAAGACAGCACCTAGGCATGACTGAATTAATTATTTATAATTAGACATAACTAACTGCATTTAAACGGAACTCGAAAGAAATAATTAATATGCCTCTCGGCATGTAAATGCGGGCGCGTTGATTAGCACAGATTGAAGAGACTATAATGACCTACGGTGAAGTTGCGCAGACAACACGAGTCATCCCGATGTTTCAGTAACATTTAAACATAGGGTGGAAACTACAGGCCCCGAACTTGGCAAAAGTTTGCAGTTTTGAGGCTACAAAATCATTATTTAATAAAAATAATCACAGTTCTTTACAGTTTACATTTAAAATATAGCATTCATTAACTATACACTATATAATGCTTGGCTGCCGTTTACCAACTCAGATTCCATGAACTGTTTTTTGTGAACTCTGAGGGCCTGGAGAACAGTAATTTTCTGATATGTTGCTTTCCTGTCTCCCTCTTTGGCAAGCCAAACACTGAACACATTACTTCAAGATGTCAGAAATGCGCAAGGCGCTCTGTGGAGGGCATAACTGCAACATTTTGTAGGGCATAATTATGAAATGATTGCATAATAATGATAAAGCAGCCATTGCTAGACATTTTATGGCACTGAAATTCTATTCCTGTGCTATTATTATGTAACATTCAGCCTCCCTCGGCTTTCATGAATACCGGGAGATTTCCGCCCTTTGTGTGTGTACTGCACGGTATAAATCTTCTGGAACTGTGCGGCCGTCGTACCATTTGGCAAGTGTGGATGACGCTTTCCCCGAATTGGAACGAGTTCGGACTCTGTGATACATGAACTTGGCAAAAATCCATTTACAGTTTTTCCCGACTGAGTTCCACCACGTTCTTATATTGACGCTCGATCGAGAAAGAATTTCTGGCCGTTTTGGCCCGATATCTGATGGCAGGCAAATAACTCGTGTACGTGCACCAGCGCTGGAAAACGTAGCGTTTGATCTCTCTTGTTACGGATGAAATAAGAATTTACCGAAATTACATATCAATAGTATTATCTTTCGGGATATGGTGCCGTGCGGTACGGTAGAAATTTAGGGATCTTTCTGAGGAACATTCTGACTTCATTCTCAGGGTCATATTGCGGAAAATAGTACTATTAATATTTATCGCCCTTAGAGCCTCAAATATGAAAATGTATCTTATCAGAAACTGTCCAAATGCTTTTTACGTATGTCTCTTGGAATTAAATTTACAGCGAATTGAAATTAAATCAGAAGCGATAAACTTTTCGACTCTCTGTGACCCGAGATATATCATTCTCGTAAATGAAACACGTATACGAGAAAATTAATCTCTTAAGCGAATTCTCAAGTGGAATTTTGTAACTGTGAAAAAAATAAAATATTTCACTGACCAAACTATATGCGACCTTCTTTTCTTAAGTTGAGTGCACTAAGAGATTTAAGTAAAGGTACACTCTCGTGAGTTACACAATACGGCTTGTCGCTTGCTTCCAAAATCTAACTGAATGCTCACTCAGACCAATTTACTTGCAGAGTTCAAAGCTCGCCTACCGACTGCCATACAGAGACACAGGACCAGTTCTTGGCTGAGATAAAATGCGGGCCTGAGGAGAATTTCGGTGCATTTTTAATTTCTGATAATTTCCCTCACTTGCATGACCTTGTCTGTATATGAACTGCATAGCACTTGATACCAATAACGTGACTACACATATAAAGATGGATAAATAGACGAATGCAACAGCCGAATCTTCTCATGAACATCGCTGAGTTGGATACAAATACCGTATGATTTAAAGTAGGAAATAACATCTAGTAAATATATCCATGGACACCGTGTTTAAGTAATTCTGGAATTAATGGAAACTGGTGACGTAGTGTTAGAGAGATGACGTCATGTCGGGGCTGGCGGTGCGGTGCTGAGATGAGCCACTAAGGATTTCCCCACCAAGCTGGAGGTATCGTATGTGGTGCCAGGTTATCGCGACTGCCCCTTCGCCATCAGCTGTGCAACATAGACACATTCTGGCATCTTAGTGACGATGCATAGTTTTGTGTGCTTTGTCTACTCTTGCATCTTCTTACTTGAGCATGATGGAAAATGATAAATATGAAGTGGGCACATCTATAAAGAAAAATTCGCAGTGTTGAACAGACAAGAAAAAAGACGTAACGGCAATGGAACCATTTCTGTGTTGGTCTTATATTATACAGTTTATGGAGTGGCGAAATTTGCCCTCATGTGCTGATAGCACTGTAACTCAAAGTTGCGCTGCTACCGCTGGAAAACTTTCTGAACGCGTCACATTGGGTGTCTGTGACTGACTATTACTTTGGCTTGCCACACACACAGTTACGATGTCCAGTTGGGACTGAAATAAATACACCGATTGTCCCAAAATGTAATTCTAAACACTCATATACATTTACTGACGCGATCATTTCCGCGAACCTAATCACTGAACGCTGCGCAAACACCAGGAGTAACTACTGCTTACATCGGTGTATGACTGTAACAAGAGATATCAAAGAAATTATTCAAATCTGAGAAGCAGTATTACTGAAAAAAATCTGATATCTGCACTGCATCAGAACCTCCTTTTGTAGCTTCATTGGCCTCTTCCAGCTTTTCCTACTTTCATCTGTCAAGAGAAAGAAGCAGTTCTCTTATTTCGGGTATATAGGTGTGCCTGCCGCAGGTTAAAATGAAAAGTGACGTATAAAAACACGATGACCATATAAATGTCTACTTCCAAACAGGAACTGAAAGAGGTATGTAAATCAGAAGCTAACTGAAGGATCTGAGGTTCTCACTGCGGTGGTTATGAAGTGTACTATCTCCTGATATACA